CCTTGTTCAAGGTTATTAACTCAAAGATGTTCCCAGCAAGTAAATTCACTTAATTGGTCCGTGGCGCTATATTTAGAAACACGGCATCCAATTAAATGCTCACGAAATTCTTTGTCACTTTGAATTTTATCATCTGCGGAAAAAAAAAAGCTTTAGAAGATAAGATATTTAGAGTATTGTTTAATATGAGACAGCATCAAATGAAGAGGCATTTAAAAAGTATTTTTCATGAGTAGAGGTATTTTTATTCAGTACGGTTTATTTGCACAGTTTATTCAAGGTTGTATGGATAAAATGGAAGCCTTCATCTACACGTTTACTGTGTGACTGATATATTTAAACTGAATCCAACAAAGACTCAGAATGGTAATGCATGCACAAATGAGCAGCATTAACTGACCACACATATTCACAACAAACAATATAGATATACAGATATCGATGTACAGAAATGCATACAATGGAGGTGACTATCCTGTTTGTTCTTGAATCAGTTCTTTTTATTAACAGTGAATCATCTATTCACTTTTTTTTTTATATGACAGACATGGCATCATCAGCAAGTTAATATTCACATTTAATTCAGTATCTAAATAACGTATGCAGCTGATTCATTAAGTCAACAATGTTAGTGAATTTGTACCTTCATTGTATGTCAAAGGATAATTGCATCCCCAAAGCACCGGTTGTCCTTGGAAACACCATGAATGGACACTGGGAGTGATGAATTAGACATCCAATACTGCCTCTGAACATTAAATATGTGTAAATTATATTTATGAAAATGTGTATATGAGGTTTATCTTTCCAATGATATTCACAGCTACTCATTAAAGGGGATTTGTTATTGAAATTGCAAAAGAAAGAAGGTTGACCTTGACATATAAATGGAACACAAACAGAGATAATTTAAATAAATGAAAAAAGGTCAGTAAAGGTGAGGAGGCTGATTGCATACAGAGTTTCATCATGAAATTAATGATCTTTTCCAAACAAATAATTTGATCTTGTTATCGCACCTCCACCTGCTCAATATTCCTAATGCAGTTAGATTTACTCTCTGCCGTGATTCACCCTTGTTCTGTGGTTAAAAATAAGCAAACGAAACATTAATTAGGTAGAATCACTGTTGCTCTGATAAGCCTTTGTTGAAAGTGCCAGTTGTCTGACAGCTGTCAAACACAAACACACATGACAAATTGAGATAATGACACAGACATTCAGTGACATTTGCTCTTCAAAGCTTTAGATGTCTCTCGCTAAAGCCATTTCTGTTGAGAGGAAACAAATTAATTACAAATGGAATGCCAGCGTCTGGTCAACCAGTACCATTAGAGCACTATTCGTAACACTCAGCGTGACAGTTTTAAACACCGTGTTAGATATTGTTATTCTCAAAGTCATTCTAATTTCTCTGTCGTAGTGGGTGCCTAAAGAGATAGTTATACATGTGCAATGTTTGATTTGCCCTCTGAATGGTAGTTACATAAAATGACTGATACACTGTCTCTCTGTCTGTCTGTCCTTCTGTTGGTCTGTCTATCTGTGGCTCACATATGTCGAGAACCTTATCAGTTTAAAACTTGGCATGTGTCTTGTTAGGGCCCAGTGAGGTCATTGTTGAATTTGGTGTGATTTGAACATGCAATGTACTCATAACTAATAATTTTGAATAAACAATTGACCAGCCCTCTGCAGTAGCAGTGGCTGGGTTTGATTAGCAGTGGCAGCTGGGACTCATCAACATATAGTGACATTGTCGATCATGACAACAGCACATTATTGACAATGAGCAGGTTCATGACCTGTGAGCGTTCACAACAATGGCCATTACAACTTATTCTCCAGTTTAAGATTGTGTATAGTGAGTCGAGCTTCACTGAACTTTGAGTAAACAGGTGAACAGCTCTTTGTGCAGCAGGGGTGATGCAGCTTCAAGGTTCTGTGGACTGAGTCCAGGAGCAGGTCTTTACTTGCCGCAGCTCAATTACTGAAAGTACATTTTACAGTTTCCGAAAGGAATATGGCAACCGGCTCTACCACAGGCTAAGCACACAGCCCATTCCTAACAGGCAGGTTAAGACCAGGCACAGCACAAGTTCAATATAAAGTGAAAGTCTGGTGACAGTTAGCATAGCTCAGCATAAAGACCAGAAACACACACTTTGTCTAATGGAAGCAACGCAGCATCTCTAAAGCTGCACTAATCAACACTGTATCCGTTTAATTTGTTCAGAATGTGAATTTTAAGAATGCATAGTTGTAGTTTAACAGGGGATTAAGTCAGACTGTTTCTTGGCTGGTCGCACAAACCTTTTACTTGTTGTCACTGAGGCTGCCAGGCAACCAGTGGAGATGCCAGGAAGCTACTGTACCTGTTCTCGCTAAATGATGAACTACAATAAAGCAAAGGTTTTAAGCAGTTTACGTTCACATTAGTCCCAAATGTTTTAGGTAGCTGGATAACAAGCCCAATCACACAGCTATATTCATAAAGAACAATCTTCAGTGACAAGAACAAGGAGTTGTCATCATCATGGAGTCAGTCTGGGATCATAGAAAGAGACCATATTGATATTCTTTCAAGATTAACTCCTATTCACAACAACAACAACAGAAAGGCATGAAGAATAGAAAGGACCAACCCCTGAACCAGCATCAGCAACAGTTTTCTACAGTGTATAATACAATCAGATGAAAGAAACAACCAAAGTTTCAGAATTCATCTGAGTTGTATAACAGATCATGGTCATTTTCCCCAGTGGGAGAAGAGCTGTTAACACAGATTTCTTGTCTGCACCAAAAAGAGAAGTGAACAAAGTGAACCTTGCTCCAAACTTTCTGGAAGTTGTCAGATGACTAAAATATGAGTAAACATAAGTTATAATAGCATAGGTTTGAGCTGCTGGGGAACATTTTCTTGGGATGAATAGGTTTGATAGAGGTGTAAAGTGCATTTCAAAACTATCCCATTGCAAATCTGGATCCAGTTAACTAAATGTTACTCCCAGATCACTCTCCTACGACACCATGTTATGAAGAAGAATATATCATATCGCATATTTCTCCTCTGAGAGATTTGGCTTGAACTATGACTGTTCTTCTTAAAAGAGACGTGAGTTTCCATTGTGAAGATATTTGAAAAAACTAGCAAAGAGAGTGAAATGACCTACAGGGCTGTAAGATCTGAAATGCCCTAAAAGGTCCAGTCCATCATACCGGCACACCCAATCTGTGCTGATTTGAATTCTGTACAGCAGAACAAACAGAAGTAACGTAAGGAATATTTTAAATATGTCCTTGCGTCCCTTCAAACCCACTGTGCATTCTAATGCTCTCTGAACCTTTTCTCTGATGTGAGGTTTAGAAGATAAGGTGTAGTCATATCCTGGATCATAGCAGGAGACGAGAGAATTTCATCCATCCTAAGTTGAGCCAGCAAATGTGTGGTGGCATGCATCCAATAGGGTCTACAGTTTGTGACAGGCCTGGACTGCATGTACAAATAGTTTGGGAATGAAAAAATATACTGTTCATACGGATGTGGACCTGGACGTGAAATTAGTGGCTTAATGAAAACAGACAGTCAACAGGGTTGCAGAGGACAGCAGGTTCCATATGTGTTGACTTAAAATTAACTGTTTGAACTGTGTTGACCAAGGGAAAGTTTCTGGCTCAATTTAAAGTTAAATTAACAGGAATAAAGTTTTAGTCCTAACTCAGCAACCATGGAGAAACTTCTCCATTCAGTCTTACATGATTACTCTGTTCTATACAGAGTGTAGACTTTGCAAGATGCAAGCACATACAGTAAGTGTACGGAACATTTCTAATAACTTTTTTTCATAAAAAGTAACTTTCACTTTTTGGCTCCGCCATCAGTGCATATAGACTTGCCTTGCTCGCCTTAGCCTTGGTAGCAGAGTCAAAGGGGAAGAAAGTAATTAGATTGTATTGTAATGGGGGGCACTGGAGGGAAGCTCATAGAAAAGAGCCTCTTACAGTTGAGGACATTCCCAGTGATTGTTCTCTTGGCCATCGTGCTGCACCATCACTTGAAAATTATTGCAACAACACATTCATGTTCAGGAGTTTAGGCATTGCATTCATTAACATCATTTAGTGTAATCTCTAATGCACTCCTTTGTGACAAATGGGTGCACATTTCTGCTCAAGCGTGGCAAATTTCTTATACTTTTCATGTAAGAGGCTGGCAGATTTGCTCCTTGTCTTCAACTGAAAAGCTAAACAAGTGGTTAACTTTAAAATGCTTTAGTGAGCTCAATCTAATTACACTTACTTTTCTTCAGCTCTTCTCTGCAAATTTATGCATCATTCATGGGGCAAATATTATGTGGGGACCTTGTAAAAATGATGCCTTGCTGGGTCGTAATCCAGTATTTTAGTTTTAGCCCAAATGTTTGGCTGGAATTTAGGCTGCAGCATGAGACACTGTTGCCTGTAAGGCTCCTAAAATACAAGTGACCACAAGTTTTTTTGGAATGTAAGCTTTTCTCCAAGAGTTAATGAACAGTAGGACCCAATTAAAGACCCAGCATTCGATATCCTCAAAAGCCTCATTTGCTGTTAAGGTAAAATGAAAAACTAACCAGTTTGTGTGTCTTAGTTTTAATATGCACACAGAAATCAGATGTGAATCAGATGAAATCATTCATCTTAACGGCTTTACACTTTGGACATGTGATCCCTTAAATATTGATAAAAGCTGAAAAAAAAAGGAAACCAGTGCTCTGTAGCAGTCAGTGGGGGCAGGGCAGTGTGCCTTCAGTTTGCAGACAGAGTTGAACATGTCTGCTTTTAGTTCCTCTGAACACAAAGTCACCACCAGATCATTTTGATCGTTTTTTTGTTTTTCTATTAACATAAACGAAGAGAACACTCACTCTCAAACAGACCAGGAACTGCACTAGTTCATCTAAATATACTGTATACATAAACAAAATAGTGTAAAGGTGTTTTTGTTGTGTTTGGCAGGTGACTGGCTGGCTGGAACACCACCCCCTTCCTTCTCCTTCTGAGGACATCCCATTCCAGGACCCATCATACGTCCCCCAGCATGGAGCCCACCAAAGTCCAGTCAGAGGGTGGTCTCAATGTCACCCTCACCATCCGCCTCCTCATGCATGGAAAAGTAAGCATGCAAGTGTAATACTGGCTGTGGGGAAGGCTGAAAAATAGCATACTGCAGGTTTCTCTAAGTTATTTATAATATTGGAAACGACTAGTTGGACTTGCCAGGAATAAAACATGACACCTTTGGTGTTTAGGATGAAGGTGCTGGCTCAGCTGCTTCCAGTGTAGTTTACAGCTTTGTAGGCCTTTATACTGTACAGGTTTTATGCAATTTTACAGAGGTGGCACACTAGTGCTCATTAAGTGGCAGCATCAGTCTTTCTTTTGCCACATTCCAGTGCTCTGGTTACAAACCCTGGAATCACTGGCTGCTAAAAGGCATTTGAAAATATAAACTTCACTTCAGGACTTTAAGAGTTCTCTTCTTTCGACTGCTCTGTGTTCTTGTCAGCCTTTAGTGTTTTTTTCCCCCCCACATTTCCCAGGGTGTAGGTTGTAAACCGTAAGTGGGCACCAACATCTTGTTTGTGTTTTTTTCTTTTCAGGCAGTAGCATGCTCTCTCTCTCCCCTAAACCCTAACCCTTTAAGAGGTTGTCAGAGTTGGTGTGTGAGTGTTGGCCTGTTTGTGTTAGTTCAGTCATGCCTGGTTAATGTGGCTCTTGCTTTCTTGCTCTGATTGCAGTCAGGTGCTAAAACTGCAGTCCACAATCTTTCAATAACGGTCAAGCTGCAAGCAACACTCATGAAAGCAAGTCTGTAGAGTAGTTTAAATGGTAAAGTACTGTATGTGTGTAATATACTGACGGTTCTGTAACAGTTGCACTGTTTTAATTCCTATGTCCTATGGGAGGTCTCCTGGCGCTTATACAGTTGGAAAACCAACACTGCACATCTCCACTGAGTTGGACGTATTAGTGGAGTGTGAGCCATCATCCCTTGTTTTATGTGCCGAGCATTCTGCAGCTCAATAATTCAACTTTGGCATGGCTGCTCATGCAGGAACTCCAGACTCTGGTGACCAGGTGATAGTTTTAACCCTGCAGCCAGACAAGCCCACACAGACACCATGGCCTGCCAGACGATGGTGTGTGACGGCCACAGGAGAGGACTTTGGCAGTAAGAGCCACATCTGTCTTCCACGGATGTAAAAGGGCCATGCCCCCACACTTAGTGGCTATTGGCTGGGCTGGGTTAGGTATTGAGGTATTTTCAGCTAGGTCTGTTGAGTGCAGGTCCTCAGCTAGGGCCATTCCTTCAACCTTCACCCCACTGATCCAAATAGACTGTAGACTGCTCCCCAAACATGTTTTCAACAGATTCACCCCATGTGCCATTTCCATTCCTCCACATTAAAGGTCCAGTGTGTAAGATTTAGGTGAAAGGGAACCATTGGCAGAAATTTAATGTAGAATACTCCTCATGATGTTTTCACTAGTTCATTTCATCTAAATTGTATGAATTGTAATTTTATTTACCCCAGTAAAGGCCCTTTATATTCAAATACTTTATATTTACATAGAGGGGGTCCTCTCTACGGAGGCTGCCAAGTTTTTGCCTTTTGAGTTTTTATGACAACTGAAGGCTACCACAGTTTCTTTTTCATGTTTGGAAGGAGAGGGTGAGGTGAGGGGTATTCAGCTGCAACATGCAGTTTCAGCACTAGATATCACAAAATTCTACACACTGTACCTTTAAGTTTTGTTGTCCAGGACATCTGTATGACTTTGTGGTGAATTCAGTCGTGCCTACGTGAAGGTGGCATATGTAGTGTGATGGATGTTTCTCCACTGCCCTGAATTTATATGAGCAGATTAGCACAGGACATTCAGTATAGGACACTGTACAACAAAACAGAGGAAACCTGAATGCAGTTTTACTAAAATGCAATTTACAGTTAGTTACAGTTGTTATTATTATATAATTATACTGTAGTTATATAATTTGGATAATCTCGATAGATTGCATTGATCCTAAAGTGCAACCTCAATACAACAAAAAGTGATTCTACCTGTGATTGGTCCTGGGTTATGATGATTAATAATGACGATAAAAAATGTAGTAAGTGGTAAGGAACTGTCTGAATAACCAATAAACCAGACTGTGAGACTTTATAAAGATGGGAGATGGTACATGAGCATAGGACTGTGTTGGCTACTGGCAAGGACCTTGAAATACAATATATTGTAATAGTATTCAATACAATACATATTGTGGTATATAGCAAAATTGTAAATATAATTTACAAACACATTTATAAATGAGGTGAAAATGAAACTTGTTCTGTGCCACCATGATAGTCTACAATGTACAGAACATCAACATTGGTGCAACATGTCTGAGAAAACAGAGAAAAGGTACTGTTGTAGGCCTATTCACTTTTGCCAAAAAGGAAGACATACTTCAACACCCAGAATGCACTGGGCACTCCTGCTATCAATACACTATCGTGGAAAGAATTATTACAATAGTCAGCTGTATCAATATTTTGCACAGCCCTATAAAAGCACAACTTGCTATTTACACAAGCCTGCATTGGATAACAGACAGATAAGTGTTTCTGACTTGGCTCATGACAGCAGGAAATCAACCTCTGTGTCGTCCAAGAACAGAAAATGGCACTAAACTGCAAGATTAGACATTGCATGAATACTGGCAGCTTATCTTTTATCCATTTTCTCAAATGAAAACAAATAATATTATTTGGATCAGATGAGGTCCAGAATGTGTGTTGAGGATCTGGCCAGGGCAGTTAACCATAGAGGTGAAGGGGGGGTGATAATATGGGGCTGAATGCTTGGAGGGCAGATGACATATAAAGATGGCACTGTGGACGCACGGTTGTTTGCCCAAGTCCTTAATAAAAAGATGGTTCCCAGTTTCAAGACTATTGGCAGGAGACAAGACAACATGACAATGATCCAAAACACACCACAGTTTGAAAATGAAAAATGAAAACCATGATCTGGACCAGTGTGACCCCTGACTTCAATGAATCCAATAGAGCACCTTTTTATTTTATAATAGAAGATAGATCAGTAAAACCCCTTCAGCATGAGGGAATGTTTTGTAAAGCAGAGCATCTCTCCAGTGTCATTTATGCCCAGGAGGATCAAATCTGTTGTCACAGGTGGAATCATGGAATCTCACTAATGACGGATACAGTGGCTTTGGTTGCAGCTAGTTCTTCAATGTCAGTTTTGCTGTTTACTGTAGCGCTGACTATGTTCTTTTCCCATGGGGGAGTTTAAAGCATTACTTTAGCAGTAAATTGTGCATGTGATCGATAGTGTACTTGTCAGATGTGAAAGATACCTCATTGAATAAGAGCTGGAGCAGCTGTTGTAATAAAGTTACTGAATGCACAGAAAGAGACAGCATGTCATTTGTGAGTGACTGACTTACATGGTCGCTTGCTGTAATAGAGTAAAATAAATCACGGCAGATTAAACGGCTGAAGAAAGCAGATGTTGAGTCAGTTTTAAAATAACAAATGCAATTTGATTGTATTTTCAAAATGTAGTGAAATTTTAAAAAAAACACCCGAATGAGGCACAAACTCTTAAAACATTAGTGGACATCAACAAAGTATTTCGGCTGTCTGATTTGAAGCAGTGCTTAACAGATAAAGATGGATGAGAAACCTGGTTCTGCACAACAACCGGCCTGCAGCTTAAACATCACACTGATGCAACCTTCACTGTCACTGAGGAGACGTCTGGAGGTTTTGATGGCGGCAGCCAGCACTGCCTGCCCCTCTGCACTTTGCCCACTGTGCCACACCAACCTCATGAAGAGTGATTACATGCATGAAAAGTGCAGCCCCTGGACAACAGAGTGTAGCTGAGTGTCCTCTGCACCACCCTGCACTGTGACACCTTGTCCTGGGAAAACAACAGCAAGCAGCGCTAATACTGCACATTTATCCAGAGGATTCTTTGATGACTCATGATTGTTTTCTCTTTTCTGTGTTTTATTGCAGGAGGTGGGAAGTATAATAGGAAAGGTATGAATTTTTATAAGCTGTGTTTATGCCAGTATTCATTGTCAAAGTGCGGTCACACCAAACGCAAATCTTGTTTTGGGGCAAATGCAGACAAGGTTGTGTTTAATCGCTTTGCTCCCAATAATCCTGCAGAACCTCTGCGAGTAACGCAATGTGAAAATTCCATTCAAGTTTGGTGTGAACGCAGCTTCAGGGAAACAGCAGATGTCATACAATTCTTGTCTTTTTTTCCAGAAAGGAGAGACAGTGAAAAAGATGCGAGAGGAGGTGAGAAGCATCATTTTAATTAGTAGACATTAAAATATTTTCTCTTTTCCAAAATGTATATTAAACAACCACAACAGATAGCTTGAAATAAATGAGAATCTCATGAGGCTTTTGCTTGATTAGAAATTAATAAATAATTAAAATTTGGACAAGATAAATTCCAGGGTTAAGATCTCACATCAACTTCTGTGTATTGGCTCCATAATTTCTTCCAGAGTGGCGCACGGATCAATATTTCTGAGGGCAACTGTCCAGAGAGGATTGTCACCATCACTGGACCCACAGACACCATCTTCAAGGCTTTTGCTATGATTGCCTACAAATTTGAGGAGGTTTGATATGACTGACAGTTTTCCATATTGTGTAACATATGCACAGTCTTGTGCGTTTACTCTGACAAATTGACATTTCGATCTCATTAGGCGTTTGTACCGGAGCTCAAATCCCTTCTGCCCTCTTTATGTACATACTCTGCCTGCCGCGCTTCATTTGTGTTCGCTGGTCTTTATTTTCCCGCAGGATTTGCCGTATAAATTTCAAACACAGGCACAAAGATTGGTTTGTGTATTTTTTATCTTAGCTTGTATAATTCTCCATTTTACACATATAAAGTAAATCTCCTGCCTGTGCCAGATTTTTCTCATTGGCTGATTAATTGATTTTTGTCTAAAAAATCAATTGCCTTAAACAGGCTAACAAGATGCCATTGTTTAGAAAAAGAAAAAGTACATATATAAAAAGAAAGAAACCATTATAGCATCATCAATGATAAAATGAAAAAATAAACCATTCTGACCATCTAGAAGCATTGGTAGCCAACTTATAAAATGTCTGCATTTTAAACATTACATTTCATATCAAATAGTCTCAACTCATACAGAATTAAATTAAATAAGTAAATGGGATTCATTCTAAAATTCCCAACTCCCATCTTCGAGGCGCCAGTAAGAGGATTCCTGTTCCAGGCTGTGCAACTACAGATTTTGGTATCACTTGCTTTGAATAAATTGGAAATCATCTCCTTTCAGCCATCTCCTCCTCGATCCTGTCTCATCTAATTGACATACTCAGCCACTGTAGCTATAACTTAGAGAAGAGACCCACCGCCTGTCCTCTCCGACCTGTGGAAAATCTGGTCTGTCTGACCAAGCCACTCGCTGCTTTCACAGAAACCTTGATGCTCATTTCAGGCACAGTGAGAGAAAATATTGCCCTTACAAAACTGTTCTCGTTTTCTAGGACATAATCAATTCCATGAGCAACAGCCCAGCAACCAGCAAGCCCCCCGTCACCTTAAGGCTTGTTGTGCCAGCCAGCCAGTGTGGCTCCCTCATAGGAAAAGGAGGCTCTAAAATAAAAGAAATGAGAGAGGTATGATATCAATTTATTTTTTCATGAATAACCTAAACATTTGTATATGTATATAAGATTGTGCTGATATATTGGACATTATTTCAAACAAATCGTCATTTGAACTGTAGCAGGTCAGAGACGTCAGTGATAGAGAGAGAGCAGTATGAGCAGTGGAGTCAGTGTGTGTGTGTGTGTGTGTGTGTGCATGCTTACACAAGTGCACAATGTTATCTTTCCCTCAAGTTCTGGGACTATCATACAGAAGCTATACAATTTGGTAATAGTATTCAATCTCTTATAGTGATCAATTTGGCCCGGGACGTGATCACTATAAGCATTTTTTACTGTATTTGTTTTTAATTGGTTATGCAGTATCTTTTAATTAAGTAATATCTACAGTAACATATAGCTTTGTTTAATGCACCTGTTCAACTGTTCACCCGTTCTGGGTGACACCACTCTGGCTTGCTTGACCAACTGGCTTTGATACACATTAGAAAGTGGATACCTGGCCTGAGCCCATTGGGTCCAGATGGGTTCTTAAGGATCAGGCTGGGTTTGGATGATTTGTTTTTAGTGCCATATTTTCGGGTTTGGCCACATAAAACAGAATGCTTGTCAGACTACATTAGTTTTCTCTTGAATGGGTTTGGACGGCAAATTGTGGCTCGAGCCGAATTGTACTAAACTTACACACATAAAAATGTCTGTCTTTACCTAACCGCCATTCACCAATTCATTGACTCAAGGGTGACCGAGGGCTCCACCTGTGCTCATAGAGTAGAAGTAAAATTATCTACAAGATCTACTGGCAGAATTTGAATATACAATAATCCTGGGGTGTAACCATCTAAATTGTAAATTGTGGTTTTGTTTACAGTAGAATGGGCCCTTAATATTTAAATGCTTTATATTTACATATGAGGGGGTCCTCTCTACGGAGGGCCGCCATTGTTTTTACAGTATTCTGGACTGGACAAACTGAACACTACTAGAGTTTTTAACTGAGGACTATCACAGGGGCTCTTTCTTGTTTGGATGGGGAGGGTCAGGTGCAACATGAAGCAAAGGAATCCACAAAGTACGTTTGATTTGTCTGGGAATCATGAATGTCTGTAAAAAATTGAATGGAAAGCAATCAAAGTTTTCTTCAGACGGACGTCTATAGAGAATTTTGGGACTAAAAGCAGAGTCGTGTTCCTCTGCTCCTAAAGACAGCATTTTGTACTCCCAGATGGACCATCACACACAGGTTATTTACTGTGGTGTCCTTACAAAGGTGTTGATACGGGGGTAGAGTTTTTCACACATCCTGCACCAGGAAGAGAGGGTTGAACAAGGCTGATTGGCACTATGAGAACTTTTTGATTTCAGTGTGTTGAAGTGAGTGCCTATAGAAGGGCACTTCTGAGCCTTCAGAGCTCTGTACAGTGTATGAACTAAAATGATCCTGTCAAGTTTCTCAAAGTACCTCAATGTTCTCCAGTCCACAGGGGCCCAGGTTCAGGTGGCAGGGGACATGCTGCCCAACTCCACAGAACGTGCAGTGACAATCTCCGGGACCCCAGAAGCCATCATCCAGTGTGTCAAACAAATCTGTGTGGTTATGCTGGAGGTAGAGTATGTCGAGGAATGTTTGAATTTGAGTGCTAATGATACTAAGAATGAAGTTATGTTATTCTTATAGACCTTAAACAATCAGTATTGGACAAAGTAACAGTTCAATACTGATTTCCAATCTGGTTTCTGTTGCATTTCTGGCATTTAACTCAAGTCACCTGTGCACCGTAAGTAATAACATGCACTACTTGCGTGTGCCCTTCTAAATACATTTTAACAGTAAGCGTTTTTTAAATTATTTTTTTAATTGGCTTCTAAAAGAATAAAGAGAACCAGGCATGTCTATGAACCTGTAATTGACACCCATCTCAGTTGGTCTGATCACAGATGGACAGCTCTAAGAAATGTGTGAACACACCCAGGACTCATTTGAGGTCTGATCATTTAGACACCATTCAGAGGTGATCAAGATGGATGTTAACACTAGATCTGATCAGGGCCGAGGCCAGATACACCTGTTGTCCACAGATGTCAATGAGACAAATTTCTATTTATGTAATAGAGGTGTTTTGGAAAGTTACTGGAAAGCAACTCAAATCAGCAGAGGAAGTAATTGATAATACATTTGGCAATGTTGTGTATAACTCCTCAACAGAATTGTGAGGAAAACCAGAGCTTGTTTGTGTTGCATGTGTATCTGTGTCCTCATATTGTATTTGAAACACATACTGCACATAAGTGGATACTCCTCCCACTACAGGACAGCAGCTGTGGAGGAAATCTAAATAAGCCCTCTCCACTGTCTCGAGCAGTACACTTTCTGCAAAACAGCATGAATCAATAACTCTGTCATTATAGTAAGCCTGCACACCCGAACTCTTTCTCACTGAAACCACCTCCCTGCCGTCTAAGAATAACAAGATGATTCATTTGCAAAGAAAATAGGGACATGGAGATGCATATAATCAGTGCACATCATGTTTCACTCATGCTTACCCTTTTCTTTTCTACTCTCCATGACTAGAGGTGAAACAGTATTTCAAATAGATTGTTTGTTTGATCAAAAGCACTAAAATGAAGCTAAAACCAATAGATGGTTATCTTTGCTTAGCTTAGCACAATGGCCAGAAACAGAGTGAACCTGTCAGCAACAAACTCCAGTCCTACCAGCACCTCTTAACTTTAGTGCTCAGCAAAGTATATCTCCTTTGTTTAATACAAAAGCAAACTAAACCCTTGGCCCCTCAGTCAGTCTGTCAGTAATACCTCTTTTACACCAAAATTAGCAGGTATACGCAGGTTTATCTGTTTCTTTCCTTCCGGTTGACATCACAAACCCATCGAAAGCTGCAGAGCTCTCTCACCTTGTTTTCCACACTACCGATGGGAACTGGAGCGGATTAAAACCCTGGAGTGACCGATTGACCTTATGCAGATTAAATCCAGTGGGTTTTTAGACCAGTGGGAAAGATGCTCAAATTATGACACACACTAATAGGCTCACAACCCACCATGACCATGAGAGAGCCTGAGTTTCTTTCCAGTCCAGCCCTTCATAAAGGGTGAATTGATCTGGGACAGGCAGTGAAATATAACTTAATTTAAAACAATAAAAATAAAAACTCTTTCATGCGACTTTTTTTCTTTTTTACACACCAAAAAGCGATGCAAATAATTGGACCATTCACTATTCTGCTGGCAGAAGTGACAGGAATTGAGAGTATCAATGTTTTCATCAAGTAGAATGTGTTACCTTCATACAGAGCCGGGCCTACCTGATAATGTACCTTGTCTTTATTGCTGAGCTGAGCTAATTGGCTGATGCTGTAGCTTCACATTTAATGAGAAGATATGAGAGATTGTTTTCTTTTCTTCTAACCAGTAGCTTTAGTGGTGCTTTGAGGTGAATTTTGTTCCCTTTCGACTTGCTGTTTCCCCCTTTTTTTAGTCTTTATGCTAAGCTAAGTTAGGATGTTTAGTGTACATAAATCAGAAAAGCATTTGTATTTCTTTAAATAGTTCTTTCTCTTCTCTTTTTCCTAGTCCCCACCAAAAGGTGCCACCATCCCGTATCGCCCAAAGCCGGCCTCCACCCCAGTGATTTTTTCTGGTGGTCAGGTAAGAGCTGAGCTAGATTTAGCTCATTATTTTGTGCCTACAGCCAACCTGAGACTTTTACTGCAGCATCAGACGCTGATTGCTTCTGCATGTCTGTTGACTTTCATATTCACACGGTTATACCGCCACAGCCCTTTTAAAAGAAAAGCTGGGGAAATGAATGCTCAAACACTAAAGCAAATTGTGTTAACCTTTTCCAGACACGCAGCCTTTTGCAGTCATGCAAATGATGACTGTCTGCTCACTGTAGCAAAGGCAGGAGAAGTCTGACATAACTAGAGAGTGAGAGTAAAGGGGGGATAGGGCTCTGTACCTGTAAGCACCATCAAAGAATGCAAGAATGCAGGGCACATACTAATGTCCATCCAGCTAATGCAGATAATTACGTTTCAGATCTGGGCTGAAAGCTTTGGATTGCATTTGAAGATTTAGAAAACAAAAGAGATAAACATGAGAAACTCATCCCCTGACTACTTATAATGACTCCGATTTGGGTCCTTGTCATTTGTCTGGAAATGATATACAATCAAGGTTTATTGGAACATACAACATAATCAAAGTGCTTTAAGCAATGTAATAACACGAGCGTGTTTTGGAAATTGCATAAGACCCAAACACAAAACCACCTGTGCAGTGTAACACAAATCAAATCTCTGCATAAACACTTCTACCTTTGAGAAGCTGATACTGACAGTGTACAATGTGTCAACATTATGTTTTGTTTGAAACAGCAGTTTTTGTTGGCATCACTTTGGATTGCACAGCATGTGCAGATGTTACATATCCAACTCTAGTCGTCTGAAATGTAGTTTGTAACATCGGTACATTTTGAGTCATGTCTGGTAATATAATGTAGAATATACACTCAATGAGCATTTTATTAGAAACACCCTACAAACACAATAGTACCTCTTGTATCTGTCAAAACAGTCCCAGGTGTTTGTAGCATTGATTCTACAGGATGTTGGACACATTCTACTCCATGTTGACATTATTAATTCACATAATTTCTGTGTCTGTGTGTCAGCTGCACATTCATGCTGCCAATCTCTCAAAAAATCACCTAAGAAAACATTCCTATCATTACACTACCAGCAGCAGCCTGGACTGTTGACATAAGGTAAGTTGAGTCCATGGATACATGCTGTTGATGCCAGATTCTGACTCCACCATCTGCAGCCTCAGCAGAAATCCTGATTGATCAGACCAGGCTTCATTTATCTAATCGTCAACTGTCCAGTTTTGATGAGTCTGCGTCCACTGCAGCTTTAGAGGTCTTATTACTACGCTTGACATTTGTTGACATATCAAAAGCTATTTTACACTATGACACTGCTGTGATAAGTAATAATAAGTAGGCCTATAATTCGGTAGAGACCCTGAGCTCTGATGGAATGAATGCTCAGAAAATAAAGTGAATATTCTACAGATCTTTATCATTCAGGTCTCATTGATGCCTCAAGCTGTGTGGAGCAATGGTCTTTCTGTAATTGTTATTTGAGCTCAAAGTGTAAATAGGGTTTTTATGACTGTACAAATTTAAATTTGACATGCTGATTTATTCTTCATTTGATGTTATTTTCCTTTTAATTGATGTACGATGCTAAAAATGTGTAATTTCTTATTTCAGGCCTACACAATTCAGGGACAGTACGCCATACCACACCCAGATGTGAGTTCTATAGTCTCTTCTTAACTTGTTCAAATAATTATATCTGTATTTAAAAATGAGTGTCAATGCAATCAAGTTTGGCTGTTCACACTCAGAATTTTGAAAGGTGGTCATTTCGATTGACATTTCACGGTGACAGCACTGTTCACATAATCTAGTATATAAGCAAAGCTATCCCTCCAAGCTAATGCGCGATAACTGTGCCAAAGATGGATTGGATGGATGAAGGGATCTAGAGTCGGGGGCCGCTACCTTTGGAGGCTGCATTTAAAGACAGATTACGTCACTGAGGCGCAACTAGACTGTACCAATTTGAAGGCTCATCCAAATGTGGCCAACAAATGTGTCCACCAAGTAGATCCTTCCCGGCCCAACATATCCCATGATTCATTACACTTCCATAATGAACTGTTTTCCAAAAAGGTCATAGCAGCAGGAAGACATGCGAGAACGTCAAAATAATTTATTTTTAAATTTTAGTACTCAACTGAACAGCTTATGTTATCCAAAAAAAAAGAAAATTTCAGCATTTTTAATCAAGAACTTTTTCATCCATAGCTCTGTTGCTAGGCAATGGCTATAATAGGACTAGACCATCTAATTCGGGTTTGGCCCACGCAGTCTACGCAGTTGATGAAGGATGCAGCCGACATAGGCTGCATAGAACAGGTCGTCCATAGGATCGGGCGTCTGAATTGAGACACAGCAGTGTCTCTCAAACTGAGTCCAAGTCTACTACTTGTGCGCCTCAAGTGGACAGAACGACTTGACTCAACTTGAAGAATTTCAGTCCAATGAGGAGTCTTAAACTGATGCATCAAATCTTCGACTTTCAGGATACAGCCATGGGATATAAAATAAAAATGGTAATTAGCATTTGAAAACGGACATACTAGCTCTTTCAGGTTATTTAAAGGCAAGTCATAAATCATGAAGTACCGTCCATGTGGTTGGAGGTTGGACTGCAGCTCAGCTGTTGGATAGAGCTCTCACCAGACCTGGTTGATAATAATTATAAAGCCACCAAAGTCACTAATGGCAGTTTTGATGACAACACTCCTTTAATTCCAGTGGACCTTATACTCTCCATTAATAATCTGCCTTCATCTGTACTTGTCATGAGCACTCTCAGGAGCTATCTTGTGTCAAATTCACTAATACAACGCTGGGTAGTGATTGATGCCTGTGGAGGTGGTGGTTGACGGTACCATCACTCAAGTACAGACTTGACAGTCTCTTCCACCCTCATTAAAACTCCTCTTAAAAGGAGAAGAAGGTTTGAAAGCATCCGTCTTCCCACATTCCAAATGGTAATGATACACAGCGGGGGATGGACAGTGTGTGACCATTTCAGGGGGTAAGCGGCTGCCCTGACAGCCATGTAAGACCAAAGTTTCTTTGGGTATGAGTTTTGAGTGCAAACTACAGACACATAGTAATCAAGTGGGCAAATTGGAATTAAATCCTGCATTTGGTTAATGAGAAGCTGTCTCTCTCCATTTTGTAAATATAAAATGATATGCCTGAGAAAGTGACAGGGAGATAGGTAAAAAAAGAAAATCAAAATTGCCTCGCACTTTGCAACTCCATTACAGACAATCACTCTCTGTCCGTATCTCTTTTTCTCTTCCGTTTTTGTCCCCCACCACCCTGTTTCATGGCCTCCTTCTCCTCACCATTTCTTCACTCTAGTTTTATTTGGCTTCATTTCTCGGTGTGACCTGTGTATCAGTAACCTCTTAGTTCTACTTTCCCTCCAAACCCTTCAGCAGTTGACCAAGCTCCACCAGTTGGCTATGCAGCAAACCCCCTTTACCCCTCTTGGACAGACCACCCCTGCTTTCCCTGGTACGTACCCACAAGGCCCTTTAGATTCTTCCTTCTCTTTGCATCCAGAGAAACATTTTTCTTTTTCCCTACCTAGCACCTTATCTCTTTTTTAGCACAGCATGACATTTTCCCTGTGGTTTTTCTCCTTCTTTGATTTTTTTCTCATGTATATTTCCTCTTGGCTCTGTCTGATAATATGCCAGTGAAAGGCAAACAAGTGACACTGGGTTTTACTATAAAATGGCGTATTCAAAATTACATCATCACTTTGCAACAGTGTACATCATATGTCTGTATAACATCCTGCAGATATATTCTGTAAAGACTAATGGAGGGTCTCATGAATAAACACAGTAATGTTCAATTCTTCTTTCTCCACTTTGAGGCGATGTCCTTTACGACATGGAGCAATTTATTCAATCAAGGCTCTTTTGTCACATCCTATCAACAGTTTATTTTTTGGGAAATGCACTAAAACACTTACTTGCCAAGAGTTAAATTAGAAAATCAATAACACTCTAATGCTACATTTAAGATGACAGCCAGTTCGATTAGCTTAGTTTAAGAAAAGTGAGATAGTAAGCATTGCTCAGCCTCATTTTCTTGCTGGTAGGCAGATATTGTTGTCTTATTACAAGACTAGCTGTTTCCCTCTGTGTATGTATTTTTACTTAGTAACTTACACTGAAATGTAATTCATTTATCACATATATTCCCCTTTATCAAGACTGATAGCACACATAGGTTACCTATAAGGTAATATAATATTTAAGACATGTACATTCCTGATGATGTGAAGATATAAGTTTATAACATAATGAAATACCCAGAGTAAAAATTGTATATGCAGATACATGCATATTAAAATAAATGTACATATATTAATGGGATATGGGATGGATATATATATTTATGGAACATTTATGTCTACAGCAAAAGCATAGACTTTGAATATGCAAAAAAAACGTACACAGATATGTTAAACATGTATCTATTTTCAACATGTATATAACATACATGTTGAGGAAGAATATGTATCATATATATCTTTAAATTCTTCATATACAGTATAAAATCAATCACCTTGCTGGGTTCATCTTTATAGCAGTGGTAACTAAATTCTCAACTCTCTAACAAGTGCATAAACATATTTCCCCAATGAAAAAATATTTATTTTAAAGTTACTATATAAATTCAAGCCTTTTTCTTTTTATTCCATTGCTCCTCAACTCAGGTTTGGATGCCAGTCCACCGGCCAGCACCCATGAACTCACCATTCCTAATGATGTGAGTAATGTTAGAAAGGTTATGGCTTATTACGTTACATTACATTTAGATTTTATCCAAAGCGACAGTGGGTGCCACGAGGGTGCAGACCTGGAACAACAAGAATCGAGTGAGTACAGTTTGCTTCAAAAAAGGCAAACTACAAGTGCTACATGTCAGTGCCATATAAGTTCAACTAAACAGAATTTATTATAATTATTTTTTAAACCAAGCTGTAGTCGGAAGAGGTGTGTCTTTTGTCTGCGGCAGAAGATGTGTAGAAGTTCTGCTGTCCTGATGTCAATGGGGAGCTTGTTCCACCATTTAGGAGCCAGGACAGCAAACAGTCATGATTTTGTTTGGTTGTTAGCTCGCAGTGAGGGAGCAGCAAGCCGATTGGCAGATGCAGAGCAGAGTGGATGGTCTGGGATGTAAGGTTTGACCATGTCCTGGATGTAGACTGGACATGATCCATTCACAGCACGGTACACAAGTACTAGTGTTTTGGAGCGGATGTAGGCAGCCACTGGTAACCATTGAAGGGAGCGGAGGAGCGGAGTAGTGTGAGTAAACTTAGGTAAGTTAAAGATAAGTGAAGCTGCTGCATCCTGGATGAGCTGCAGAGGTCGGATGGCACTAGCAGGCAGACCAGCCAGGAAGGAGTTGCAGTATTGTAGGCGTGAGATGACCAGAGCCTGGACCAGAACCTGTGCCTCCTTCTGAGTGGCAGAGGGAAATACTTTCCTGATGCTGTGCAGCATGTATCTACACGAGTGGGTTGTTGCAATGTAATGTTGGCAGTAAGGGAGAGTTGACTGTCGAGTGTCACACCCAGGTTCCTAGCAGTCTGGGCAGGGACTACCAGGGAGCTAATCATATACATGCAAATGTTATCGAGAAGGGTAAATAGCAACTTTCTCAATTAACTGATAAGAAAAACATTTGCAAATAATAATCCTGTCCTGAGATAATCCTGTCCTTCCAAATGTATAAACAAAATATATATAGCACCTACAGTGATATGAGTGTTTAATTATTCCTGATCTTTATAGTTTTTATTCTAAACCTACACCATTTCATAATCATTGTACTTATTTTTTAACTTCAAATGTATTAGGCTTTACGTATAAATGTATGAAACATAAATATATAATGTAAATCATGTAATTTGTATTATATGTAAGATAACATGGTTTCCATGCTACCTGTTCGAAGACATCGCTTTTTCTTCTTCTTTTTTTGCAGCTAATAGGCTGCATTATTGGACGCCAGGGAACCAAAATAAATGAGATTCGACAGATGTCTGGGGCGCAGATCAAAATTGCAAACGCCATGGAGGGCTCGTCTGAGCGCCAGATCACCATCACGGGGACCCCTGCTAACATCAGCCTGGCTCAGTATCTCATCAATGCAAGGTAACCTTTTACCGTCTTAATTGCTGGGTTCCGGCTCAATAAAAAACATAAAAAGCAGCACCTGAATAAATTAGTTCAAAAGGAGGATCCAAGATAACTGCTTTCTGTGAATGTCCTGTATGGAAAGAAGAAATACTTTAGTTTTTGTTTTTGACATCCTCGACACTGAGTCGCCAGAAAATGGTCAATATCTGTCAAGTTCTGACAAGCCACAGAGAAGCGCATGAATAATGTGGCTATTTATATCTTTTTTTCCTTTTGGTCTTTATCACTTTTGTCCCTTATTTCCAACCAAGTGTAGACATTAAAATGCATTAAGTTTCTGCAAGCACACTCCTTCCACATAAGTAGCTCATGGGAGCAATGCCAAATAGTCAGACCAGTAAACTGTGTCTTTGAGCACAACCTGCAGATTAGTAAATTGGATGATCAATGAAGGAATTATCAAAGGTTCAATGCCTTACCTCAGTTTGTGGACAAACTGCTTATAATGAATTAATGAAAAAATATAGGGCTTCAGCCGATGTAGCTAAGATCCCACATTGTTATTTTTCCACATAAGAACTTTGTGTTATAAGATAATTGCATAGTCCCAAATGAATTCATTTTGTATTATCTGTATACCAGTAAAATTCAGAGGGATACAGTTTGCATCAAATAATGTTTTTGCCATGCTTCACTATCCAATTCTTTTTTTCCATTTCATCCACTGAAACCTCTTAATTCATCACAAGCAAAGAAAATGAATGTGTTATCCACAGTTCTGAGAAAACTGAAGCTCACTGCTGTCCACAGGTTACCTGCACCTCAAAGTCAAATGTTATATGCAATACAGCAGGGGAAGCCACATGCTCACGAATGGGACTTTTATGTCTTTGACTTCTTCAGGAGATTTCACAGAGCAGTCCGCAGGAAAACTAATGGCTATTGCTCTCCCACAATTCGGTTGGCAGGTTCAGGGACGTGGCTGCCATGTGGAATGATCCCTCGTCCATGACAACATCCTGAAGTCCCCCCCCCCCCCATAAATCTGCTTCTCTTTTTAGAAGCTAACACCAAAACTGCAGCGTCAAAATTAACCACAATGTGTTGTCCCATAGAACTTCCCCATGTAGCCCCTTGGTTGTTTGTAACACGTTAGCATCAGTCTATGGAAGAATCTGTAGTAAAAGTCAAATTAACATGTGGCATTTGTTGAAAATCGATGTAGCCAGTGTATGGTTAATAACTAGTTTAACATTATGGGAAATATAGTTATTTGCTTTTTTTGACTACTGTATAAAGTTAGGTCCGGAATATGGTTAGCCTAGATTAGTTTAGCATATTTAGGAGTAGGAAATTGGCAATTAAAAAAACTCCTGTCACTGCTCCTGTCAGAGGTTTGGCTCATAACCCAAAGTGAAACTATAAGTTGTTGTTTTTGCACTTAAGTTTTTAAGTTAATTTAGCAAACAAACTTTAATACACAAATAAATGAGTTCTGAAGATGCTTGTGGGCAGATTGAGTTACCCTTAGACAGCTAGCTTTTTCCCCTTGATTCTTGTCTTTGTGCTAAGCTAAGCTAAGCTAACCATATCCTTGCTTTATTGTAAAGAGAGTGGTATTGATGTTTGAAAGAAAGCTAATAAGGGAACTTCCCAAAATGTCGAACTGTTCCTTTAAGTATTTATTTAGCATGCTTACTTCCAAGAACAATATGGTATTTATTTCTGTCATTGCTATCTTAGATACATTCACCTATCAAGTCATATTGTGTCATTGTATAGAAAATTAATTAGAAAAAAAAATCGAAAAGAAAAAAAACGCCAAGAAAAAAGATGCAACTCGAACACGACTGCCACAAAGCAACGCTCTCAGGAGGAGGAGTGATACGATGCCTTTGTCAGGGACGCAACCGTTTCTACAGATTCAAGATATTTCATGACACTATCATGTGTTGTTTCTTTGATTTTCAGTCCACTGCATGGCTTCCAGAGGGCGCGTAGCTCTGCATGATTATTTGACCACTCTTTCAGACACTAAGATGTTCTCTGTGAACGAGTATGATGAAAAGTATGCTGTCGAAGAACAGGTGCCAGTAAAGCGAAGCACACAGAGCAGCCGCCGCAGCATAACGTTCACTTTGGAGCGAAAGTTCCTCTTTCACACTTGTTTTATTTTCTCTGTCCTCCCCCTCCCTCCCCCTGCTCCCCCTCCGCCCCATCTCCCTCTGACCTGTTCTAGGCTGACGTCTGAAGTCACTGGAATGGGCACACTCTAATTTCTACCCACCCCCCCACCCCCCAGTGCATCACATGACCCCTGAGCTTATGGCACTGTGCCTGGTTTCTTTACTTCTCCCCGTATTTGACGGTCCCGATATTTAAGTGACTTTAAAATCGGATCATTTCCAGTATTTAACTGTAAAGACGTGTATCTGCACTGTTACACCTGCTGTATCTGAAACACTGTTGTCTCTGTTTCTGAAAGGTCACTTTGATTTTTTTTGATTCACAACGCACCGCTTTGTTTCACCTCATGTTTTAACATCACATCACGTTTTTTCTCTGCCCTGTAGGCACCTGAGAGTATATGCAAATATTGGTATAACATTTGAAACCAAGGTTTTCCCTCCTACATCACATTCTGACACGTTTTTTAGACCATTACAGAGAACATTATTCAACACAAATGGTCAACGAGCCACTATTAACCAGATATTTTGTATATTTTATTTGGCACTGAGTGATGAAGTGGGTGTTTTACTGTGTGCCTGTAGACATTTGCCTGTTTGACTCAGTGCTGTATGTGCACCGTAGATTGATCTGCATGATGTATTTCACCTTCATTTTAGAATTAAATGTGTAGAAACGGAGAGTGAGGGGTGAAAGGTTTATGGAACAAGCCATGAACAGTCTGTATATGACCTGGACTGGTCACTCTGTCTTCAGTTTGATATTACCATACCTCCTGGGTGCAGGCCAGTAAACATCCACTCTAATGCACAATGTCTTTCCGAGTTTCATGTGAAACCTGACAAAGATTAGATGAAAAAAGCGAAAATGAGGAAACGAATGCAGCGAAGATTGAAATTCAATTGCATGTTAGTGATTTGCTGCATTTTTATTCACCTGTATTCCAGAAACATGCACTCGTTCGTTTCTTATTTGTCTCATAGCAACTATCAGATGCACGGGCCATTTGGCATAATCTGGGAATCATCCATAGCATATATTTGCACTCACATTTAGTGAGTCAGGTTCCCAGTGTGCGTCTAGAGGGCGGACAAGCTCCTGGGTAAAACTCTCATTAGTCAATCACATCTATTTTTCAGCTACTTCCTCAAATTGGCTCATTACATTTTGGAAGTCAACAAATGACTGCAGGTACTGAAGATGTTGTGTGTCTCTGTTTGGCATGTATAAAACATATCTGCACTCATTTAACTTGAATCAACTATTGGCTTTGCAGGTATTCTCTACATATATAGTTCTATATATATTTTCATTTCAGCGCGTGAGCTGCTCCTCTAGAGAGTCGAGGTCTCACTTATTTTATTATCAAATATGTCTCAAACGTAAGCATCTCTATCCTGTCATGGTCAGATGCAAACTCAAGATCCAGTCGATCAATCTAAAGCTGAATGTATTTTAAAATGAATTTTATCCACCAATATTTACACACTGGATTAAAAACACTTTAATCAGGTTATATCGATTATAATACTGGTGATTATTTTATCAAAATGTTCTGGATGTCATGAGGTTGGGCAGCTTACTCAAACTGGGCTCTGTTATAGCCAACTTATTTAATATTGTATTAATATTTTCAGTACACTAGATACATACCGTGTTATGTAACCTGATTATTTTTGGGTATGTTCAATATAAAGCAGAAACTAACAGCAAGAGATTCTTGTATTTTCAGCAACATGCATTAGCTGTTATTTCACAAAGCAGGCTATAAGATCAAATAGAAATACAGTATATCTTCACGAACACTTCACAGTAAAACATGACACCCCCAACAAGTTGTGTGACACGGCTGGGATTTACTGAATGCAGGTAACAGATATTTGTACTCCACATTACCTTAACACACTTGTGCATTTTACTCCCACAGCCGGGCTAGTCATAACTCCAGTTCTAATTATAGAAACAACATCTGGGCGTCACGTTTGTGTCATTGTGGTTTACGCTCAGACACTTGGCTTGTGATTAGGTTTGATTACACATAATGACTCTGTAATGAGTCGCTGTTAAAACAAGGCTGCTTTACAGTGAAACACTTACACATTGCTCCACGTATACATTTACATTACACACGTACAAGTAGATAAATGAGCCACATCTGGCTGCATCCAGATGTGCTTCAGTTGAACAAACTGAGGAATGGCTGATTGGGGGTTCAAAGATTTTTAATAATAGGAAAAACTTCTGATCATTACAGTAGTTTGATGTCTCCTGTAAAGCTGCAGGTTTAAGGCGTCGGCCAGTTAAGGGATGGCGCATTTGCAAACATCTCAGTTGCCTTTTTTTTATTTGTCATACTTCCATCCTTCACATTCATCATCATTCATTTCATCAACCTCTCCAGCACGTCTTGTGTTGCTTCTGTAATTTTCAGTGGTACATTAACATTTTTTGTTTCTGTATTTTAGAGCAGCAAGTATTTAAAGTTAGCACCGAGGTGATATAAATAATGCTGTTTGAAGAAATGTGTCAGATCATGTTTGTGCTTGATCATTTGCTTCATGGAGATCTGTATTGGATTTATTATTTATTGAGGTTGACTCTAAAATGTTTTGTAAAAAGAAGAGAATAAAGTTTGTGTTTTTTTTCCCTTGACTTGGACATCTTTGTCATCCTCTTGAAGTTTTGTCGTCTTGTTTATTGTGCTCGAGAGAGACGCGTCTTCATTATTACAGAAACTACAATATCATGAAAATGTATTTGGCTAAAGTTATTCATCACCACCCTTTGTCTGCTGGAGTAAGTTACAGACTAGACTATTTTCGAAATACTGTAATGTAGCTTGACTGTTTTAAAATAAAAATTAAGCCTGTAATAGTTTGGTTTGTGACATTTGCATCTTTTAATGAATATTTAACATTTTAGGGAATCAAACCTCAGGTATTGGTCTTCTTTTTCCTGAGGGCATGAAGTGTCTTCTACTGTTTGTCTACACATAAAAAAGTAAATAACCATTATCAAGAGGTTGTACATATACATGCTTTGGTTTGTATTAGTTACTGACTCATTGCTTTTGTGGATTATCCACAGAAACCTGCAAATGAATTCTGAAGGATTTTTTTATTTACTATTTTATTTTACATTTACTATTGATAAATTCATGAAAACCGTTGATTAGATATCATTCAGGTCTTTCCAAGTACACCAATCTAATACTTTTATATATGATTACCCAGCGAGCCACATTTCTCAACACGACAAAACTCTTACATCTTGTTCAGGAGCACTTCAGTCTGGTGTGATCACGCAGGTGTTCACCAGGGTCTGTTTAAAGCAAGGTGTTTCTAATGGGTCCCACCACATCCTTACTGAACTGACTACATAATGCACTGTAGACCGTGTGGCAGTAGACCATGCCACGGGCCTCTCACCACAGCAGCCAGAGACAAACCATTCAGGTTTGAGCATATTTTATTGATCACTTAAACACATGAGTAAACAGAAAGTTCAAATCAAACTGACAGGGTAGCTCTTCAGCTCCGTGTCTCCCAGTGCATCTGAGGGTCCTAGTGTGTCTTTTTGAGGCAGCTCCTCCGCTGCCTTTCAAACCTCAGGATCAATCCACTAACAGCTCTCACCTGCGCTGAATGATCCTCTGTGGTGCAAGTGAAGGTGCTCTCCCCGCCCCCTCACCTTCACAGACTGATTCCTCATGAGACCAAAATATCCTGCTTGAGGTCAGTTAGTCAACACTTCTGCTCAACTCAATGACCATAAAGAGCAGAAATTAGCTGCATTCAATCTCTGAAATCTACATTCAAGACTGGTTTCATGGAAATTGAGAAGCTAACTGATTTTGTTGGGTCCATTTCCCTTAAATAAGCTGTGATTGACTCATGCACACACAGGTGCTGACGTCCCTCTGTTCCACATGTTCACAGCCATTCTCTTAATGAAACTTAGTTAAAGCTGATGGGAAAGGCAGTTTTCTGGTAATCTTCCAAGGCCTTTCACATTATTATTATTATTGTCAGGCTTTTAAAAGTTTTTTTTTTTTTTTTTTTGGATCTGTTACCATTCAGGGGGTGGACAAAATACTACAACAATCATCTGCAACATCCCTGCAACAACACTATATCCGGCTCAGTGAGGGGTTGATTCGGCCATGTGGAGACATATAATGCTCATGTTCAGGTTCATCATTTTAATTTGTGTTATTACTTGAGAAGGTTCATGTGCTCTAACATTCAGAAAACACTTTCCTGATTCTGTCCATTGATGCAGCTCCTCTTTTCTCCTTTTTCTGAGACACCTTTATGCTCTGATTGGGGAACTGTGCCCCTCTGTTATGACTGGTCAACAGCTTCCAATGTCAGCCTCCTTTCATGGCTTTGTTAGGGGGCGTTTCAGACTAGCAGCTAAGTTTGCATTATGCAGATGTGGAGTATGTGACATCATGATGCCCCGTATCAGCTGGACAACTGACGAGGCGTTTCAGGAGCTGAAGGTGAAGGAACTCCCTTAATTGTTGACTTTGGGTTTTTTACATTGCAGACATTTTACATTCACTTGAGAAAGGAAAAATGTAAAAGTATATTATGTATATAATATCTCCCCTTTAAGTTATGTTCATGCATATCATCCAAGGATGTGCTAATCTTTGTTGCCATTTTATTCCCCAGGTGTAACTGTAAAGTCCCATGTAACAGAATCCTCAGAAATGACCACAGTCCCAAATCAAAGTGGAGCCGAGGTTAAAAGGCCTGATGGATCTAACGCTTGCAGTGACTCACATCTAAATGAGTCGCTTCTGTTATCTGGACGTAGCTGCCCACAGGAGACGTCTTCAGCCTCAGGCATGTTGCAAATTAACATTGTTCCTCCTCGGGGGCGACGAGAGGTCACCTTATATACAGCACAGCCATCAGTCTCCACCAAATCTTTCGTGGCTGCCCAGTTTCAAGCAGCCTGAGATTGCTCTCCCCAAGTCCCAGATTGATTTAGTAGCACATTCACCATGTCTAAAGAAGGAGAGATTATCCCTGTGCGAAACAATTGACAACCTTGGCAGCAGAAAGGGTACTCAAATTATTGGAAAACTTCAAAACTCTTTTGTGATTTTGCAACATTCATTAACTTCATCATGACAGAAGTTATTTCGAGGAAGAGATGGTCTCATATATGGGAACGTTCTCTGTGAGTTGGCCATATCATCGCACTTACAGTAAGAAATAGGTTCCATAAATATAAGAAATATTAAATCATCAATTATTGCATCAAATATCAGTCTATTCCATTATATCTTTCTTTTCAAGCATGTCTTGTAAGTTTGTTTTTTGTGTCTTTTTTTAAATTTTGAGTGAAGATACATTAAACATACGTATAACTACAAATGTCAGAAATGACTCGTTTGTACTGTGGTCCTTTATTTCAAAACAACAGACTGTGGCCCCTGAGGATAAGGATAATGTGATAAAGACAGAACCTGGTGTCTGATAACTCTCAAGCAGAATTGGCTTGCTAACATTGTTAGTGTTTCTTTATTTTGCTCTGAAGTATCTTTTAAAATAAATATCTTGTTTATGTACAGATAGAAGTTGTCCCTTCTCTGTCTCATGGGGACGTTTTACAACTTCAAACCAATAACACAAAATGATCTGCAGTTTTGTGGGTGCTGTTGGTGGAGTACATCATCTCCTGTTGACTCTTGTTTCATAAGATTACTTGGATTTAAAAGAAAATTATTAAGATTTACATTTCTTCTGTCACATAATTTTAATTAAGTTGTATTTTTATTGATCTACTGAGATATATGTTCGAATTATAACTACTTTTTGTATTTTGTCAGTGTCCTATAGCTGCATCCCAGTGGCTAAGAATGAACTCTGTCTCCAAATATGAATAACAGAGACTCATCATGGAGAGTAATTTGAGTTTCTAATTCATTCTGTAATTAACAGCTGATGTGACACAATATGCTTTGCTCTGTTGTGTTATGTCCCCTGCATCTGGCGCTTTTTGCAGCTTGGTGAGATCAGATGATTTGTTTGGATGCAACAAAAACCATCAGCGGTCTGAGGCAGATTTTGTAGAAGACAAATTTAGTGAATCACCGCTGACAGGCTATTGAAGAACACTCGAAACCTCTGTCTACTTACACCAAAGCAGAAATAAACATGACAAATCCTATAGTTAATTCCACATGTTGTTGATACAGTTTTTCTAATACACCAGAAATGGTTCATTATAAGCAGTTGATTACTATAACCAAATTGCATAGTCCCAGAACTTGAGGGAAAGGTAACGGTGGTTTTAAATAAAAGGGCGATATCACACACTCTCTCTCTCTGTGTCTTGGGCTGACTAGCACACACACACTGAGACACACACACACTGAGACACACACAGACTCAGCTGACGTCTCCGACTGGATACAGTTTAAACATGTTTTAAATGACACCACAATATCAACACTAATCACCACATAATGATCAATACTTTTCTTAAATGAGTCAAATCTTTCTTTATAGCTGAGTGCATATTCATTCATAGCTCGTCTCTCCCGCTGACACGCACACACGGACACGTGCAGACACACATAAACCGGACACGTGTTAACTCAGACTGCGTGGGGTGCGCCTGGTTTGAGCTGGTAAAACTGTAAAAAAGGACATTTTTTTGGTCCAAACATGTATGAAAACACCCAGAATGAACACTGTTAGTGGTTTACCTGATCACTATATCCGAATTATGACCCATTTGTCTGAAAAGCACTTGTCTGCTATGGCTTGTATCGAGGTTAATGAAAACACTGAGAGTGAAACAGTGAAGTGCTGATCCATAAAACCGAAACAATGAGCTGATAGACCTTAAAATGCTTTGTAGAACTCGGGAGAACTTCAGAGTTGGAGGATAATTCTTTATTAGTGTGTTACTACAACCAACCCCTTTTGCATAAAGGTTGGCATGTGATACATGGTTAATTTAAAGATACTGATTATAGCTGCTTGAAGGTTCTCCAATCATGGTCTCAAGTACCTTTCACCTGGATCACTTCAACAGAAGGTTCACATAAAAGCTCATTTCCCATGGACAGCAGCTATGAACGTTTGTGTGATGTTTAAACACTAATGCTCACATCATTGACATCCTTGTGAGAACTTGAACATGATTACCAATTTCGAATGGCTTTTTTATTCGAAATCAATGCTCCCATCTCGCTATGCCTTTGTCACTGGACAGAGGAAGTCAACGTGCATCCGCTGCAGTGCATAATGAGAGCGGGTCCAGTTCGCTGTCTGTATTCAGAAGATCTCCGGGTCAAACTGCAGAGTGAATCCTCTCTCGAGAGAATTTCTTACATTTCATATTTTTCTCCAGCATTTGCCTTTTGAACCTTTGAAAGAGACGCAGCACTGTAAGTCGTCTTAGAGCAAATTGCATGGCATGCTGGGTAGGAAATGAATCCACCCATGGGTTTAGATTAATTCTTAGCAGAAGTTGAGGTTTTATGTTTAATAAAGCTGATGTAAGGAAGGCAGTTAGGTAATTTACCTATTGAATCATTCATGGTCGTATGTGGGGCTCTGGGGCTACATAGGTCTGTCTGTCTCCAGTTTTTTGCTGTGTATATACAAAATGATCATGCTGAGCCTCCACTTCATTCAATTATATGATTAAATATAATTATATATCAATAATTAATTAATTGTTGATATAATAATATACATTAAAATGTTCATGTCAAAGGTAGATTGTAATGAGGCCCATTTGGGTGCTC